AAAAAAAAAAAAGAAATAGGCCAGGTGCGGTGGCTCACGCCTATAATCCCAACACTTTGGGAGGCCAAGGCGGGAGGATCACAAGGTCAGATCAAGACCATCCTGGCTAACATGGTGAAACCCTGTCTCTACTAAAAAATACAAAAAATTGGCTGGGTGTGTGATGGGCACCTGTAGTCCCAGCTACTTGGGAGGTTGAGGCAGGAGAATGGTGTGAACCCGGGAGGTGGAGCTTGCAGTGAGCCAAGATCGCGCCACTGCACTCCAGCCTGGGCAACAGAGTGAGACTCCGTGTTTCAAAAAAAAAAAAAAATTTAGCTGGGCATGGTGGTGAGCACCTATAATCCCAGCTACTCAGGAGGCGGAGGCGGAGGCAGGAGAATTGCTTGAACCTGGGAGGCGGAGGTTACAGTGAGCCAAGATCTTGCCACTGCACTCTAGTCTGGGTGAGAGAGTGAGACTCTGTCTCAAAAAAAAAAAAAAAAGAAAGAAAACAATATAGGAAGCTTTTTTAAAAACCTGCTAGTTCGGCCATGAGGAGACTTGATTGATGGCTTAGAGTCATATCCATATAGTCTCATGGCTAATATGACATTATTGCTGGGAAGAAAAACCCATTCTCAAAGTATTAGAGGATGATTAATGATAACAGTGGAAGGTTCTAACACGTGTTTATGAGAAAGATGGGATGTAGTAAGAGGAAGTAAAGATTTAGATTTTCTTTTTTTAGCTGTAGTTATCCAAAATGAATAATGCCTACTCCAGTCATCTCCCAGCCTGGAGCAACTACCCTAACAGGCAAGTGATGCTGGTGAGAAGTGAGACTGGCAGGTTAAGCCTCCAGAACTTGGTGTTCATGTACTGACACTTCCCAAAGAGGATTTTTTCCCCCTGGATAACCAGAGGGTAAATGATGTGTCACAAATGCTGCAGGAGCATTGTAAACACGTTCTCTATGGTGCTTAATTGCAAGCTGTGAGAGGTTAGCTACACTGCTAGTTTGCAGCATTAAACAGTGCTGTCCTGCAGGTGGGAGCCATTATGTTCTCTTCTTCATTCTCCACCACAGCGGCCTCTCTCTACGTCTGTCTCCTATCACTAAAGTGGGAATAATGGTGTGACCTTGCCCCATCTTAGTGGGGGTATAAATGTTGAGAGAAGTAGTTAGCTAATTTCCATAGTCTGTGAGCCTTACAAAGAAAGAAACTCCGGCCGGGTGCGGTTTCTCACGCCTGTAATCCCAGCACTTTGGGAAGCCAAGACGGGCGGATCACGAGGTCAGCAGATTGAGACCATCCTGGCTAACACGGTGAAACCCCGTCTCTACTAAAAATACAAAAAATTAGCTGGGCGTGGTGGCGGGCGCCTGTAGTCCCAGCTACTCAGGAGGCTGAGGCAGGAGAATGATGTGAACCCGGGAGGAGGAGCTTGCAGTGAGCCGAGATCATGCCACTGCACTCCAGCCTGGGAGACAGAGCGAGACTCTGTCTCAAAAAAAAAAAAAGAAGAAATAAACCCCTTAAGAAGAACATGTTATTACATGATTAAGACTTTAAAGGCTGAGAGATTAGAGAGGTTTTTCAGGGGGAAAAAAAAGAGAAAAATAAAGGTATGATGTGGAACAGCGGCCCAGCCTGGACAACATAGTGAGACCTCATCTCTACAAACAGTAAACAATTAGCCTGATGTGCTCGCCTCAGCAGCACAAATACTAAAATTGGAACGATACAGAGAAGATTCTCATGGCCCCTGTGCAAGGATGACATGCAAATTCGTGAAGCGTTCCATTTTTTCAAAGAAAAAACTATTAGCTGAGTGTGGTAGTGCACCTGTAGCCCCAGCTATTCAGGAGGCTGAGGTGGGAGGATTGCTGGAGCCCAGGAAATCAAGGCTGCAGTAAGCTGTGATTGTGCCACACTGCGCTCCAGCCTGGGTGACAGAGAGAGACCCTGTCTCCAAATAACAAAAAACAAGAAACAAAACCACACTGGTTTCTTTAGGGAAGCATGGGTCCTGGGACAGCAGTGACTTTGTGGGGAGACCCTCCTCAGTTGCTGACCCCGCCACATGGCCGTGGGCAAGCGACTTCTCCTAAGTCTCAGTTACTTTCCCTTGGAAACAGAGATGGATATGCCCACCTCACAGGGTGGCTGTGAGGATGACCTGTGATGTGTGATGCCAGGTGCCTGCCTGGCACGGTATACAGTGTGGAGTGGGTGGGTACCCACCCTTCCCCTCCCGTTCAAGCTGTGTTGGGTCAGGAGTAGAATTATTCTGGGTATGAGGACAAGGCTGCGGGCCTGAGGGTGGGTTTAGAGTCTAAACCACAGACAAGATTGGATGTGAAATGTCCATTTTCCAGAGCTGGACGACTGGCTGTATATTCTAGTCATTACTGTTCCAGAAACCTGCTAACCAGCCCAAGCTAAAAACTTTGTTCAGGCCTGGCACGGTGGCTTATGCCTGTAACCCCAGCACTTTGGCAGGCTGAGACGGGTGGCTCACTTAAGGCCAGCAGTTCAAGACCAGTCAACATGGCAAAACCCCATCTCTACGAAAATTAGCCGGGCATGGTAGCAGGCACCTGTAATCCCAGCTACTCTGGAGGCTGAGACAGGAGAATCACTGTGGAAGTTGCAGTGAGCCGAGATTGCACCACTGCACTTCAGCCTGGCCTACAGAGCGAGACTCCGTCTCAACAAAACAAAACAAAACAAAAACAAAACAAAAACTTTGTCAGTTGAGCATATGCAGAATAAGTGATTTTCATGAAGCCATTTTGCCAGTTTGGATTATTTTTACTGAAACTTGAAGTTTAGAGGAGCTAAAAGTCCAACACAGGAGCCTTTGGCCAGATACCCTATAATGATCTGTTTGGGCATGTATTCAGCGCCTAGTAGAACAGTCCCTTTCTGTTTTCTGAGTTACTGAAAATGGGACATGGGCCTGGGATGTGTGAGAGCAGGAGGGTGATAAGGCTTCTTCCATTGAGCTCTAACAAAGCCCGGTTATCTATGTCTTTTGCCCAAATCAAATGCAGGAGGGCACAGTGCTTTGTTCAGGGTAGTAACTCAGTAAAAATACACTTTTTTTTTTCTTTTTTCTTTTTTTTAAAAATTCCCACCCCATCGATAAATATTTGTTGGCTTGCTTTGTTCTTGGTGCTAGTAGAACGGTTAACCAAACCTTTCAGAGCTAAGTGATACGCGTTTGGAGCATTAATAATGTTAAATAACAGTCACTGTGTTTGATTCACAGTTGAACCTGGAACAGCAAACATGAGCCATCCTTCGGCAAGTCTGCCCGCACAAGCCTTGCCAGCAGCTCTCCTTTTTAGCCCACATGCCTGTGGCTGGGCTCTGTGGTTTGTACCTTGGTCTCAGTGTGTTCCAGGGGAGAAGTGGTGGGTGGAGGCTCTTCTCTGATTCTTGCCCTCCTCATCAGTACTCTCAAAAGTGCTAGTTTCCTGTTTGTCCTGCATTCTGTCTGCTACCAGGGCTTGGTCTGCAAATGGAGAGCTGCCCGAAGAGTGCCCTTTCCAGAGAGAAGCCCTCACCTCTGCCCTCTGTGATGTCTCAGAAGCCGCTACCTGATAGCCACGGTTTCTGCAGTCAAAGCTGTGCTGGGAGGACAGAGGTGGGGCTCTGGAGCCAGACCCCCGGGGGCTGACCTGTGCTTCCACTTTAGTTGGCCCTTGAACAACAGGGGCTTGAACTGCATGAGTCTACTTACATGTGGATTTTTTTCAACAAAAGTTACAATAATTTGCCTGCCTCTCCTGCCTCCCCTTCCACTTCTGCTACCCCTGAAACAACAAGATCAACCCCTCTTCCTCCATCTCCTCCTCTTCTTCAACCTACTCAATATGGAGACAAGGATGAAGACCTTTACAATGATCCACTTCAACTTAGTTAAGAGTAAGTGTATTTTCTGTTATTATTTTTTTTCTTTCTTTCTTTTTTTTGAGACAGTTTCGCTCTGTCCCCCAGGCTGGAGTGCAGTGGTGCTGTCATAGCTCACTGCAGCCTTGAACTGCTGGTCTCAAGCAATCCTCCTGCCCCAGCCTCCAGACTAGCTCGGATTTCAGGTGTGCACTACCTTGCCTGGTAATTTTTAACTTTTTCGTAGAGACAGGGTCTCACTATGTTGCTCAGGCTGGTCTCAAACTCCTGGGCTCAAGCACTCTACCACTTCAGCCTCCCAAAGTGCTGGGATTACAGGCATGAGCCACTGCTCCCGGCCATGATTTTCTTAATAACATTTTCTTTTCTCTAGCTTACTTTGTTGTAAGAATACAGTATATAGGCCGGGTGTGGTGGCTCATGCCTGCAGTCCAAGCACTTTGGGAGGCTGAGGCAGGCAGATCACGAGGTCAGGAGTTCCAGACCAGCCTGGCCAACATAGTGAAACCCTGTCTGTACTAAAAGTACAAAAATTAGCTGGGTGTGGTGGTGCGCACCTGTAGTCTCAGCTACTCGGGAGGCTGAGGCAGGAGAATTGCTCGAACCCCAGAGGCAGAGGTTGCAGTGAGCCAAGACCACGCCATTGCACTCCAGCCTGGGTGACAGAGACTCCGTCTCCCCCCCAAAAAAAAACAAAAAACAAACAAAAAGCAGGCTGGGCGTGGTGACTCACGCCTGTAATCCCAGCACTTTGGGAGGCCAAGGCGGGTAGATCACGAGGTCAGGAGTTTGAGACCAGCCTGGCCAAGATGGTGAAACCCCATCCTTTTGCATGTGAGCCTGGAGATCCGCCACTGCACTCCAGCCCTGGGGGCCACAGAGCGGAGACTCTGTCCTCAAAAAAAAAAAAAAAAAAAAAAAAAAAATTACGGTATATAATACATATACA